CATCTCGGTGCGCTGTGCGCATGGTGCGCCCAGTGCGCGCGTGCGCGCAAATGCGCGTGCGGTGTCCCTGAGCGCATCCCGCACGGCGCACCGCACCGCATCACGCACCGGGGCAGTGCGCCACAACTAATTTTTTTAACGGATGTCCCGAAGGAAATTTAGTGCCAGATTTCCGATGGGATATATATAACAAGCAGTGGCTGTTGTGCAAGCTCCTGAATCCAGACCAGAAGATATCAAACTGAAAGTGGATGTTATGAAGGCAGCCTCTTGTTTACAAATCATAACCAACCAAACACAGCAGCAACATAAACTCCCAAGCAGAGGAAAAGCAACTGACTATGGCAGTTGTAAAGGGTATGGTGGTGGTCTAACTGTTTATATTGACTTGTGTCTGACTTGCTTCTGTCTTCTTTGATCTGTCTTTGTTAAGGTGTTAAGAGAATACTACGGTCGGGAGGAGATCCGGATGGAGGATGTAGAGAATGCAAGGCTCGTGGGAATGGGCCCGAGAGGTCAGAAAAGGTGCCACAAGCATGGCAACGCGGGGCTTCGTCCCACAAAGGGGTCGGTGGCGACGGAGCGCCATTCCTTCTGTGAGGAGAAGGAAACGAAAACTCTGGAGATGAAAGCTCACGATGTGGTGTTCGGCTATTCAACAGGTAGGCAGCAGCATGGTCAACAGGCAGAGGATATCCGGAACGACGCCGATGACGAGGCAGGCTTTGTGAGTGCGGGCCAGGGGGGGGCGTACGCTCCTCCCGCAGGCGCGACGCAGCAGAGGGAGCACGGAAGCGGCGACGGTCGGCACCCGGCAGCCGCGGGAATGGCGAGAACAACATCGCGAGCCCCAGAAAGTGAGCCCGATGCGAATCGGGGTGACATAGAGGATGCAGGAGGGGAGGAACAGGCCTGCGATGGAAAGAGCAACGGTTCAGGCAGCCATGAAGTGATGGAGATGCAAAGCAGCAGGGGATGGCATCGAAAGGAAGCTGTCTTGGGCCATGGACATCATGGGAAGAAAGTGGTGGAGATGTTAATAAGACAAGGAGGAGATGATGCGCTGCGCCATTTCGTGCGAAGATGGCGAGAAGTGTTTGTCGAGTCGCTGAAACCGAAGTTCCTCCCCTCTGCATGGGACATAAAGCACAGGTAACGTATCTCCTGCTCCATGCCTCTCTCTGTATGGATGACCTCCTCCTCAAGTGACAGATGTATGTCCCGCCAGGGCCCGCCACCCCGGCTTGAAATGGTCAGAAGCCAATCAGTCGCATTCATTGCGATGACTCGCACAGCAGAATCGGAGCATTGACGACAATAGGCCGACGGCATTACGCTCACCCACGTTCTGCAATACCTCTTTCAGCATGCACATGCCGGACCTCACGTCCAGGTGCAGATCAGACACTTCCCAACCTGCCCTGCATACGTACCATCAGAAAAAAAACTTTTCCTTCCGTTGTTGTTGTTGTTGTTGTTGCTGTTTTTTTTTTTTTTTTTTTTTTTTTTTTTTTTGTTGTTGTTGTTGTTGTTGTGGCCCTTTGGACCACGAATCAGATGCTAAACTGATCAGAGCACATACTGCACGTGATCTTCACAAAAAGACCGAGAAACTTCAAAGGTGAGACACCAGCAAATTCAACGATAAGGCCGGATTCAAACACATCTAGGTGGGTGCAGAGGAGGGAAGGGAGGGGGGGAAATCCTTGTGTTTTGACTTGCGCGGATGAACGGACAATGCAGCAGGTAGATGGAACGGCAGATAGATCAAACTGCAAGCAAAGCCAGTGACAAGTTGGGGCCCTAAAGTGCCTTAAACCCCTGAGTAGCACTGCAGGGTGTCATCAGGATGGAAATGGGAACCATGGTTAAGTTTGGGGCCCTAAAACCGCTAATCCCCTAGGCAGACGTGGAGTTTAGAACCATGGTTAAATGTCGCATACCAAGATGGTACAGAGTACTACAGACCAGAACCAAGAACCGACCTCTCACATATAGAACAGGATCGCACAGCGGAAGGCTAGAATACAACTGATCAGACCCAATCGTTGTCGAAATGCAGGCTGTACATACATCATCATCATCACACGGTGTGAATGACCTGGCTCTGCACACTGGGATGAAGGTGCCAGGCCTAACTCATACACGGATGAGGAGGAGGGGGAAGAGACGAAGGAGAAGGGGGAAGAGATGAGAACGTTGTCAACTCCAATGTCGCTGATGTCAATCCCAAACAGTCCCCCCAATGTCTCTGCCCAAATGTCGAGTCCAGATCCCGTGTCGTTAATCTCTCTCTCTCTCTCTCTCTCTCTCTCTCTCTCTCTCTCTCTCTCTCTCTCTCTCTCTCTCTCTCTCTCTCTCTACCAAGTACTGACCTGCGAAAGGTGGTGCCTTGATGCAGGTTCGGACGTGCTGAAGACGGAGCTGGAGCAATGGCCATGCAGGTAAGTTTCGGGTAAGTCCTCAGGCCGCCATCACGATCTCTCCCTCCCTGCGCTGCTCTACTCTATCAGCGCCCAGCGCTGGAGACTAGTCCTATCGTCGACTACTACTGCTCTACTGTCGTCCGAAGGAACTGAGGTCGGACCCACCTATATGTAGCGCTGGGTCGGCCTCAGCCGCTGAGTCCTGGCGCTCAAACTGAGGCTGGGCCTCAAAGTTTGGCTCCCAAACGGAGGCTGCTCCAGCGCCTACCGAAACGGCGCGGCCTCAAAGTCAGGGCCTTGGCGCCAAAACGCGTGCCAGGGCCTGTACCCAAAACGAGGCCTACAGGGCCTCTAACTGGTACCGGTCCTACTCGGCCTAAACTCGGCCTACCGACCCTGCGGACCCTGCTGAGGGTCAAAACGACACGGACCCTACACCTTCGGACCCCTAGTCTACCTGGTCGGGCCCTGCTGGGCCCGTGTGGAACTGAGAATGCCACTTTAAACCGCCAGTACTTGGCCCGAGTACGAATCCCAAACGAACCTGATGAGCAAAATTCCTGGCGCTTATGAGTTTCACGATGACATCTCAAGGCCGTCACCCTTCTTTACAAAAAAAAAAAAAAAAAGAAAGTTATGGAGGATAGCAAGCTGTACCCCATGCATTGTTGAAAATTTTTTCTCTCTCACGTTAATAAGACGTATAAAAAAAAAGCCAATTTCGTCTTTGGGAGGGGTTGTTTGGTTAAAATTTTAATTACCCATTTCTGGCATTTCATTTGAAGGGCGATTGCTTCCTGTTTTGGGTTTATTATACCCAAGCCTCCTTCTTGTGGTTCCTGATGATGTGCTGCCAGGCCACCTTGTTAATGCAGGTGGTTCTGTTTGGGCCATCCGTCCATAAGAAACATCTGGCTGTTGCCTTAAGAGTCTTGAGGCCATCGTCGGGGGGGGAACCAAATGGATGCCACAGCGTACAAAAAGTTGTCGTGTTTATGATTAGCGCTCTGCCGATCAGAGAAGCCCGAGCTTTCTTGCATGGGGCCAGGCGAGATATCGCCTTAGCGATTCGATTTTGTCCCATCCCTGGCCATGTGCCATCTTTGTTTACCATGATGCTCAGATATCGGATAGCTTGTTCTCCCTTGG